TGTGTATGGGGGGCAGTGTGTGGGGCAGTGTGTGTGTATGGGGGCAGTATGGGGGACAGTGTGTGTGTATGGGAGGCTGTATGGGGGCAGTGTGTGTATGGGAGGCTGTATGGGGGCAGTGTGTGTGTATGGGGGCAATGTTTGTGTGTACACCCCCCCCCCAGCCTACCTGTCACCTGTGGGGGTCAGGCAGCCATCTTCAGCAGCAGCATGGGCTGCTGCATAACGGCGGGGGCGGGGCTTACCGACGGGAGGCGGGGCTTCGTTTGGGGGCGGAGCCTGTGCCGGGGAGCCAATCAGTGCTCCCTCCAGCCACAGACAGCCCCCAGCACCTCAGCACTGCATTCCCTCCCCGGCTGTAACAGTCCGAGGGAAGCAGATGGCCAGCTAGTTGCCAGCATTTGGGGGGGCCCAAGGGGGGGCACAGCATCATGTAGGGGGGGCCATGGCCCCCTCTGGCCCCCCCCTAGCGACGCCACTGGAGGTCTTACCTCAGTGCCACTTGGGATTCGGGCCAGCAAACAGCTTCCTGTCCTCCAGCTCCTGCTTGCCTGGGCCGGTAGTCTTCACAGCTTGAGGGATGGAGGTTGAGGCGATCCTGGCTTCCCTCAGGGCTGCTGCAGCGTGGATGGTGGCCGGCGACTCCTGATTCAAGTGCTCTCCTCTCCTGGATCCTCTCCCCTGGGGATGGCTGCTGGTGTGGGTGCTCTCCCCACGGCCTGGGTCCCTCTGGGACCTTCCCTGTGGCCCCTGCACTCCCCACTTCCCTGAGTGGCTGCCGGTGTGGGTTCCCCCCACCGCGGCCTGGCTTAATCCATCTGGGGCCTTCCCTGTGGCCCCTGCTCCTGGGGGCCGCGATGGTGCCGGTTGGCATTCCTGCCCGCCAGCTCCACTACCCCCCAATGCTGCTCCTCGGGCCCGGTTGAGGAGGTGGAGCCCGGGCCCGAGGCTTCACTCGGCCGCGTGTCTGAGGCTCCAGACGCGCGGCCTGCAACTGCCATGGAGGATGCGTGGCCTAAAACCGCCACGGAGGACTTGCGGCCTGCCCCTCCTGCAGCCGGATCATGGGCTGCGGCCTCCGGTGTTGGGATTCGCGCCGGAGGCTGTAGGAGGCGGGCGGCGCATCCCGTGCCTTTGTGTGGCCAGCCGGAGGCCTTCCAGAACCGCCGCAATGGCAGGGCCTGGGACAGGGCCCCGGCGGTGAGTGGGCCCTGCGGGGCCGAGAGGGGACTGCTTTACTGCCGTAGGGGCTGGGGGTGACCTCTCCCAAGGGCCTTCTCTGCCAGTGAGGATGGCGCCCGGGGAGTCTCTCTCCCCTGCACCCCCCTTTTTTTCAGTTTCCCCCTCCCCTTCTCTGTCTCCAGTTTCTCCCCCCTTTCCTTCTCTGTCTCCGGTTTTAGGGGGGGGGCCTCGTCTCCTCCTCTTGTGTCCCCCTGTTTTTTTCCTTCTGTTCCTGTCGGTCCTTCTTTCTTTCCCCCCCTTTTTTTCTTTTTTCTTTCTTTTCTTTTTTCTTTTCCCCTCTCTCTGTTTCTCTCCTCTATGTCCTCCCCCTTTCCTCTCTTCCCCTGCTTTTTACCTGTTCCTGGGTCTTCTCTGCCTTCTGCTCTTCTTCTCTCTCTGCCTTCTGCTCTTTTCTCTGCTGGTTACTTACCTCAGTTGCCTCCTGGTGGCACGTCCTCTCCATGCCCTTCTCACAGGTCCTGGCTGCAGTTCATAGAAATGCCCAGCAGGTGGCACCTGGAACACATTGGAAGAAAACAGTGGAAGCTGATTTCAATGCCTTCTGCCTGGACTTCTACACTTGTTAT